CTCAGTTATGTTAAGGCTCCTGTACAGCATGGGCAGTGAAAACGGGCCTTAAAGAGGGTGTAGATATAATTTGTGCCAGAGTAATTTATGGTCAAAGCTGTGTAAATGGTTGCAAATGAGATCAGCCCAAATTAAAGACTATTCTTCCTTAAAGTCATCCTATGCTAATCTCTTCTCTCACATCTCTGCCCCTTTCTCACTTTTGTCATATGTCTCTAAGTTAGATTTAAGCTCTTTGGTGCATGGACCTGTCTTTTAATGTGTTATTTATGGCACAAGGTACATATTTTTTCCATCTCTGTGCATGTGCAAAATACTTTACAAACACACATGGTATATATCTGCATTCACACATCAGGAACAAAATAGTGTCACTCAGGCTTAATTCACTCTTGTAAGTGGTTGTGACTGAGGGGGACCAAGTCACCTTGGGAGAGGGCAGATAGCTGTAATGCCACCTCTACCTCTGCAGGATTCTGCCTAGGGAGAACAGCTGGATGTTCTAACTGGGGCTTCACAGGAGCCCTGACAACAGACATGCTGAATCCAGCCTGGCCCCTGGACAGGATGGTGGGTGGCATTTCTGCACCCCTGTTCCCAAGAGGCTTTCTGTACCTGAAGGCCAGGAACCCAGACAGTGAATTGGGTCAATATTTTTTTCCTTTTGAGTAAAAATACATTTTTCTTGAGTAAAGTACTAAAATAAATAAATAAATACAGCAAAATTCAGAAAAGGACCTAACATTTTATTTTGAAGTAGGCCCTGGCTAAAAGGGTTGTAAGTAGGGCTGTCAATTAATCACAGTTAACTCACGCGAATAACTCAAAAAAATTAATCGCCATTAATCGCAGTTTTAATCGCACTGTTAAACAATAGAATACCAATTGAAATGTATTGTATATTTTGGATGTTTTTCTTCATTTTCATATATATTGTATTCCATGTTGTAATTTAAATCAAAGTGTATATTATTTATATTATTTAACAAATATTTGCACTATAAAAAGATAAACAAAAGAAATAGTATTTTTCAATTCACCTCATACAAGTACTGTAGTGCAAGCTCTTTGTCGTGAAAGTGCAACTTACAAATGTAGATTTTTTTTATTACATAACTGGCCTCATAAACAAAACAGTGTAAAACTTCAGAGCGTACAAGTCCACTCAGTCCTACTTCTTCTTCAGCCAATCACTAAGACAAACAAGTTTGTTTACATTTACAGGAGATAATGCTGCCCTCTTCTTATTTACAATGTCACCAGAAAGTGAGAACAGGCATTTGCATGGCACTTTTGCTGCCAACATTGCAAGGTATTTACGTGCCAGATATACTAATGGGGGCTGCGGGAAGCGGCATGGGCTGAGGGATATGCTGGCTGCCGCTTCCCACAGCCCCCATTGGCCTGGAACGATGAACAGCGGCCAGTGGGAGCTGTGATCGGCCAAACCTGCGGACGCTGCAGGTAAACAAACTGTCCCGGCCCGTCAGCGGATTTCCCTGATGGGCCGTGTGCCAAAGGTTGCTGATCTCTGTGCTAAACATTCGTATGCCCCTTCATGCTTCGGCCACCATTCCAGAGGACATGCTTACATGCTGATGACACTTGTTAAAAAAATAGTTACTTAAATTTGTGACTGAACTCCTTGGGGGAGAATTGTATGTCCCCTGCTCTGTCTTACCTGAATTCTGCCATATATTTCATGTTATAGCTGTCTTGGATGATGACCCAGCACATATTGTTCATTTTAAGAACACTTTCACTGCAGATTTGACAAAATGAAAAGAATCTATCAAAGTGAGATTTCTAAAAATAGCTACAGCACTCGACCCAAGGTTTAGGAATCTGAAGTGCCTTCCAAAATCTGAGCGGGACAACATGTGGAACATGCCATCAGAAGTCTTAAAAGAGCAACATTCAGATGCAGAAACTACAGAACTTGAACCACCAAAAAAGAAAATCAACCGTCTGCTGGTGGCATCTGACTCAGATAATGAAAATGAACATGCATTGGTCCACATTGCTTTGGATTGTTATCAAGCAGAACCTGTCATCAGCATGGATGTATGTCCCCTGGAACGGTGGTTGAAGCATGAAGGGACATATAAATCTTTAGTGCATCTGGCACGTAAATATCTTGCGACACTGGCTACAACAGTGCTATGAAAACGCCTGTTCTCACTTTCAGGTGACATTGTAAACAAGAAACGAGTAACACGATCTCCTGCAAATGTATACAAACTTATTTGTCTGAGCAATTGGCTGAACAAGAAGTAGGACTGAGTGGACTTGCAGTCTCTAAAATTTTACTTTGTTTTATTTTTGAAAGCAGGTTTTTTGTACATAATTCTACATTTGTAAGGTGAACTTTCATGATAAAGAGATTGCACTGCAGTACTTGTATTAGGTGAATTGAAAAATACTATTTCTTTTTTTTTTACAGTGCAAATACTCGGAATCAAAAATAAATATAAAGTGAGCACTGTACACTTTGTATTCTGTGTTGTAATTTAAATCAATATAATTTAAAATGTAGAAAAATCCAAAGATATTTAAATAAAACATATTCTATTATTGTTTAACAGTGCGATTAATCGCAATTAATTTTTTTAATCACTTGGCAGTCCTAGTTGTAAACCATAGTTGCCATATTTCTACAAATCCTGTACCTTTAAAAAGATACATGTCTTTGTTGTAAGCTGAAAAAAGCAGCAGCTGAAATGTGAAGGATGTAAGCAATGACACAGAACAGGATGTGTGTCATGCAGAGCAAATATTACACCCTAAACTTGTTGAGAGGCACTAAGTGAAGCTAAATGCCTTCAGCTTCCCAATATGTAATATTATCTCAGCATGACTGATGCTGAGATATTCTGTAGAATAGCTTTGAGTTCAGATTATTTTTAAAGCATGTTTCTAATCATTCTGCTTTTCAAAAAGTGCATATTTATGTAACCTTGCTTAGCTCTTTTACAGTATGGTTGTCTGCTGCACTGGAACATCAGACACCATTTTAATCTATCACAAACTCCCTGTTTTTGTATTTAGATATAAAATGCAAAGCTGTGGGCTCCTGTTAATAGCAATCATTACCTGTGAGGGACATTTTCTCTCCGTGTTACAGTCTGCATATATCTACATTTACTTGTAATTAATGTAGAATGTAGAGATTGAAAAGACAGAGTGACAAAAACTGGAAAACTTGTGCCAATGAGAATTTCCACTGGGTTAAAAAGAATCAAGTATTGTAGCTTTAGAAAAGCCCTGTTAGATCATCCGGTCCATTTCCCTGAGGGTGAAGGATTTCTCCCTCCACTACGCTGGCATTTCAAGGGTCCTGTTTATTCTAAGCACCAAGTGATGAGGCATTGCTCTTGAGAAACCTTTCCATAGCCTACACTCCATTCTTACTGCTGCTCTAGGTTTCTGTCAGCATTATTGCCTCCCCAGTGTCTTCTCTCAATGAATATGTTGCAACATATTTTCCCCTTGGATTAGTAACTTGCATTTTTAAAATTGAATCTCCATTTGTTATTGTCTGCCCATGTTTCTAATATCTCTGTGTCTTTTCGTTTTATTTCCCTGTCCTCACTGATATTTTCAATTCCTCCCAATTTAATATCCAATTAATTTAATTAACAGCATGATTTCTCCCTTTTGAGGATTATTAATGAAGATATTAAATAAGAATGGACATAGAGCCGATCTCTGTAATGCCCCACTAGACACCTTCTTCCCCAGCTCGGTGTACTACCATTTATCATTACCCCATATTTATTGTTCTTCAGTTTTTAGTCCACATGACAGTTCACATCTAAGCTAATTTGAATTAATATTCAGAAAAAGCTTCCACCGGAGACTGTACTATACTAAATCCTTTACTAAAATCTAAATATATGTCATATACAGCATTCTTGCCATGCACTCATTTCACAGTTCTATTAAAAAATCAAGTTTCAATGCCCATGCTATGATGGACAAAGGAGAGTTGATCCTTTGGGTATGTCTACACAGCATTCTGGAGCCAGCAGGAGTGAACCTCCCAGCCTGGCTCAACAGGAAGTGGAGTGAGCTTCAGAGCCCCAGCCCAAACTGCAACTTCAAAGTGCTGTCTATACAGCTATTTTTAGAGCATTAGCACAAGCCTTGCTAACCAAAATCTGTTGCCCCGGGCTGCAAGGCTTGCTCCCGATCTGTCCAAAATGTTGTGTAAACACACCCTATTGTACGAAAGACCACAGTAAGACATGTGCTCTTAGATTTCCAAACCTTAGTATACTATGTTCAATTAGACAGAAATTGATATTTTTAATGTTAAGTTCTTCAATTAAAAAAAAGTGTTTCACCATAAAAACTTTGGTCCATGTAGTGACCCTTTCTGGCTTGGCATTTTGTTGCCATAAAATGGTTAGGTGACCCTACTTGATAATCAGAATGCAATAGTTATATCTCCATCTACTTTTTCAGATATCATTAGATATAAGTATAGCAATATTTAGTAGATCCATCCGTATGTGATTTTCCTATTGCACTCATTATCTGAGGTTTTTCTAAAGATTTTACTCCTCAGTTCGTTTATCTACATTATGCTCTATCTAAATATCCCAAAGCTGTCAACATGCACAAAAAGCTGAGTCACATAAGACAAAACATGAATATTTATTTTCTTTTTAAAAGTGTTAGGGAAGTGTGAAGAAAATACAGAAGTAAACATACATAATAGAAAGCTAATATGCCTCATGTTTTAAAACGGAAATTATTAGAAATGCCTCTCATCCTATGGCTTTTAGATAATGGACTGGTATGGTTTGATATCTGTCAGTGCCTCTAACACAAGTAAATTAATGAACTCTGAGTAACAAAATTACCCTCTGTAGTTCTTTGCTGCCATCTTCTGTCTCTTCAACTGATTGCTGTTATTGTTCTTTGAATTCTGAAAAATAAAACTGTTACACTTAGAGTAAAATTTCCTTTCTTTTTCTTTTCTTTTCTTTTTTAAGCTAAAGCAAAGCGAAGCCAATGCTGATACTAAGGAAAAGCTTCCACTGCGTCTACGTATATTTGAAAAATTTCCTAACAGGCCACAAATGGTGAAAATCTCCAAGCTTCCTTCAGATTTTACAGTTCCAAAAATAAGGTATAAAATACATTCTTCCTTTCTTTATGTGCTCTAGACTTGTTAATTACCAGCCCACACAGTAATGCCAGGGACGTATAATAGTTTTTCTCCCAAAAATTAAGCAGATAATTTTAGAAATCAGAATCAAAACATTGTATCTAGAGGTGAGAGTGGGTAACTTTTCATTTGTCTCTCATTTTTACTTCCCAAAAAATATCACCTCCTCTCTTTTTCACATGGCTTTAGTGTTCATGAAAGGCGTGAATAACAGTCCTGGAAGTAATTTATCTGCATGCAGGTAGAGTATATTGGAAAGAGCATTTCTGCAGATGAGAAAGTAGTTTCTCTTCAGCCTCCTTTGTGGTTTTTTTTTAACTTCTTTGCTGAGATCACCAGCAAAAGTTCTAAATATCAATTCCAATGTGGGTTTTTTAATTATCTGGTCATCTGAGTCCACCAAATCACTTCGCATAGAACACTGAACAGCTGTCAGAGGGTAACAACTTTTGACCATTACCTGACTGGACTGGATTTGCACTGGGGATAACTTTCCTTCACAAAATGCCTCAAAAACCTCAGAGGTCAGAGTTTCTGTTGTACCCAACTTATGAGAGGGGACAGGTAGGCATTGGGGAGCCAGTTGTAGTTCACTGAATCTTTGAAAGCAGCCTGGGAACTGCTGTAACAATGCACCATCTGCAACTGTTCCCAAGGGACCTTTTGCCAGATGAGGATAGCTGGAGCATAGCACACTCCATTCACAGCCCCCTCTACACCCTTTCCCACCCAAGTTCCCCCTATACCAATAGCTGTAGAGTGCATGGTGTAAGAGGTGGCTGTGCCAGCTCTATTATCACTGGGGATTCTCCTGTGCTGGGGAGACCACAGATAAGCCAGTAGGGCTGTCTTCAATTTTTGTGTCATCTGAACTGTGCAAAAGGTGTGGTGCAGGCCAAATATCTGCCTCTGAGGGATTAAAAGAAAACACTGTTAAATTTTAAGGTAAAGATCAGGCATATTTTATTGTATTTCCAGAACCCCAATTACTTACATACCAAGTTTTTGCTTCTTTTTTAAACTGTGTATCTGTGATCTTTGTATGGCTATGTATGATTTTTTTTTTCACTGTGTTTTTCCAAATGTATATGTGGGTAGGTACTTGAGACCTAGTATTGCTGCTAACCATCGAAAAAAAATATCAAGCTATGGACTGAAGAATAAAATCTTAAAAATGAATCCGTTGTACTGTAGAACTATCACTCCAGAGAAGAGTTGATTGCACTCAGTATATAACTGTAGAACTTCGAATGTGGAAAAATAAATGTGCATTTCTTGTAAACAAAAATAATTTAAAAATCAAAATATGGCATATGTGAAGTATAAAATTGTCAAAGTAGCTTACAATTGGCATTCAAGTCTGTTATATGAACAGATGCTGTTTGAACTCTTGAAAAATTGATTTCTTGCCTAAAGTATGCATCCTTTGGATTATATCAGTTTTTGGTTTGCTTTTAATGAGCAATTTATATTATAAACTCAGAAAAAGCTTTAAACTGCTTTATTTGATGTCAATAACTAAAAATAAAATTAACTGTTACATTTAAAAAATCTATTAAAAGACTATATTATTAAAGAGAACAAACACTTTTGTTTGAAATTGCATGAAAGCACCAAATTCAATTGTTATTTTTAATAATTAAATCTAAATCTAGTCATCTTTGTTATTTGTACGTCCTATCCAGTACCCCTTCAATTTCCATCTTGCTGCTGTTCTATCTTAGCAGTAACTAATTGTGACACATTACAGAAAACATGTATTAACTCTTTCTGGATTTTTAGCAACAAAATGTGATATCTTTTTCTTATTTGCAAGGGAAAGTTTTATGAAGCAGTTTATTGATCGTCAGCAGCAGGATACAAGCTGCTTATTGCGAAGACTCCCTTCGGCATCTTCTTCCTCATGTGACCACTCCAAAAGATCTGCAATTGAAGAAAACAAGTATATTGACCAAAAGGTAAATACCAGAGTGTAAGAAATATATGTTCTTCATTGTTTTAAACATATGGTGTGAGGAAATGCTGCAAATTGTACAATTTGTCAAAATTTCTGAAATATCAGGAAACAGTCAAAAGTATTTAAGAACTTAAATTGTCTAAAATAGACATAGGGACAGATCCCCAGCTAGTCTAAATTGTCATTGCTCCCTTGACTTCGGTTAAGCTATGCCATTTTACAGAAGTTGAGGATCTGCTGTGTAATTTTTTTAAAATGCATCCATTTTTCTGTGCATAATATTTTAAAATCTATATGGTGCAAGTCACTTTCAATCATGTTTGAAATTAAAGTTTGTGAATTTAAAATTTGCATTTTTGATCTTTCCTCTACCAGTGATTATAATGCTATTGTAACCAGGTCAGTATGAGAGCCTTGGAGCTGTGTTAAAAATTCGCAAAGAATCATTTCTTACAAATCATTTTCTAAACTTTTAGAAAAGTTTAGCCCATTTTTATGTCTGTGAATCATTAGCAAACAGTTCCCGATATTTACAAAGTTGGTCGCTTGTTGTTTTGAACGCAGAAAGGCTCCCCGCCGGACTGGTACAAGGCACATGTATATAAGTTGGTATTTGTTTGTCTGAATTGGGTGCATGCACAACAATAAGGGAAAACAGAATAAGCTTCAAATAACATAGTGGGTTGGCAGGATACAAAGAATGAGAAGCTAGGATATGCCTGGGTATCCACATGAGCATGGTGGAGAAAAAGGTAACCAAGGTGCAAAATACTGGTCATTTTTATCCTGTTTCCTGCAAATACCTTTTTCCATAGCCAACGGATCCTATACTTTACAGTACCAATTGATCCAAACTGGAGAGCAATAAAGCATCTGGCACCAATCAGGACAAAGTGCAGACAAGTATCAACTCTTCTGATGGGTGAAAATTATCCGCACCAAGTAGAGCAGTAGAAATATTGGATTAGATCATAAGCTGGTGCTAATGAGCCCAAGTCCGTTGAGGTCAGTGGAGCTACGCCATATTACACTAAGTGAGGATCTGTCCATTAACTTTTAGCAGGAAACTTAGGGTACGTCTTCACTACCCGCCGTATCGGCGGGTAGCAATCGATTTATCTGGGATCGATATATCACGTCTCGTTAAGATGCGATATCTCGTTAAGACGCGATATATCGATCCCCGAACGCGCTCACCATCGACTCCGAAACTCCACCACAGCGAGCGGTGGTAGCGCAGTCGACGGGGGAGCCGCGGCCGTCAATCCCACACTGTCTGGACCCCAAGTAATTCGATCCAAGATACTTCGACTTCAGCTACTCTATTCGCGTAGCTGAAGTTGCGTATCTTGGATCGATCCCCCCTCCTAGTGCAGACCAGCCCTTAGGCTCAAGCTCTTTTGGCTGAAGAATTGAATAACCTAGTATTATTGGTGAACTGTACTGTGAAGGTTAATATACAGGGTGAAAATCAATGCAAATCTAAATAATTCAAGGTGAAGTTAAATATTAAAGATGAACTGTAGTGTTTTGAAACAGTAACCACCTGACCTTACAAAGGGCAACTGAATGTGCAAATAAATATAACTGTTATTTCATCTCAGTTTTAATATTCGTACTCCTTTCTCTGTTTTTTTAAGTAGTTAATGTCCTTTGATTGTTAATTTCCTCTGTTTTTTGTACATTCTAACATGGGCTGGACTGATGATATCAGAAACAGACAAGAGTGTAAGCATATGCGAAAAGTAATAATGAACCACTTAGTACTAAAAAATATAGCTTTATATTATTCTCCATTGACGGGTCTCCACTATTCCCCCCAATAACAAAATTAGGTGTTACAGATATCATTGCCCTGAGCATGCTGGGATTGTGAGCAAGAGATTGGTGATCACATGGCAGTAATGTTGCACCTATTAAACAAAGTAAAAATAAAGATCTATTTAATTAAAAACATTGCAGATCTCCTTTAACTGATTTACAGCCCCTAACAATGATCTGCATGCTACTGATATCATAATGATATTGTACAGCAACACAACCTATATAACAGGGGTCGGCATCCTTTGGCACATGGCCCATCAGGGTAATCCTCTGGTGGGCCTCGAGACATTTCGTTTACATTGACTGTCCACAGGCACACCCCCTTGCAGCTCCCAGTGGCCGCGGTTCACCATTCCCGGCCAGTGAGAGCTACGGGGGGCCGTGCCTGCGGACAGTCAATGTAAGCAAAATGTCTCACAGCCTGCCAGCAGATTACCCTGATGGGCTGCGTGCCGCAGGTTGCCGAACCCTGCTACATCAGAAACACAAAAACGCAAAAACTATCATTTCCTTTAGAATGGACAATTTGTATAAGTGCATTCACCATGTGAACTTTTAGTACTCTGGGCAGAGCAGAAGCAGAGCAGTGTTCACATTTCTTACGAAAGTCCTTTAAGAAAAAGTTATTTGGTTAGTTTAATCACAACGCTTTCATGCTATCCTTTGAAATAGTAATGAAACAAAGATTTTCCTACAAAATACTCTTGTGCAACAAATCACATAGGCCTCAATTCCAAGAGGTACTTCAGGAGTACCACTGGTACTACATCTGAGTGGTCCTATTGACTTCGGAGACTACTCACATGTTTACAGAAATGCACATGCTCAAATACCATGCTAAATGGGAGCGTTATTTCCTGTTTCTCCCTGTATGCAAAGTTAACCCATCTTGATTACACATAGAGATGGGCACATCAATCATGAACATATTAATTGAATAGTTTGTTCAATAAGATTTTGCAATTTAAAAAAAATAAAATATTTGTTTTTCCCATTATTCAGCCAGCTGTAATAGCAAATATGGATATGCCGAATTTCAGTTTTGAATTGAAACAGATATTCACATATTATTGGTGCACTATTCACCCAACTCTAGTTATGAAACCATGAAATTCTGATGATGTAAAGGGTAAAATTAAATATAATTAACATTTCTGGTCAGATATTGCATGAAACTGCGTGTTTACACATTCACGCAGGAAGCAAGAGAGCACTAGGTAGGATTTAGTCAGAGCAATTACTATGGCTTTCTATAGTTAGTTTCCATGGCAACCTTTCATTTGTGTGATCCAATTTTCTTAAAAAATCTTATCCTTTAAGCAAGCATGGAATGATATTGTATGTATACTTTACATTCCTGTGTCAAAAAGAAACATCACTATTTAACTGATACCAGTACCTCATAGAATGTACACTACTACTACTGATGAGAGTGTGATGGCTTTAGCAGTTTTTCACTTTTTCTTTGCACTGAGGATGATAGTGCAAATGTCAGGATTGGAACCAAAAGACAGGATTCTGTTGCTCTTCCCCATACCTCCTCCTTGTAGTGTCTGTAATGTGTCTAGCCATTCCATTTCCTCTTTGAATTATGTCAGCATTTCTGTCTTCCACCCCTACTGACTTGATAGGCAGCACTTAATTTATATTACATATTTGCTTACTTCCACCTGAGAAATGTTCTTTTGTTTTATCTCTATAGTGTAGTGACGTACTTACTGACATTTATATTCAATACCAAAGTGACATGCAATTCACGACAATGTGAATCGCAATTTATCTCCTTTGGTCTCCTGTAAAGTTGAGACTGCAAATAATAAATCTTCTGAGTATGAGAGTTATTTATTTCCCTTCAAGGATTTTCTCCAGTTTTAAAGGGGGAATGAGCTTGCATTGCACTACTTGTTTTTTTATGACCCTTACCTTTCTGACCCAAATACCTATTCCAGGGGTCGGCAACGTTCGGCATGCGGCTCGCCAGGGTAAGTACCCTGGCGGGCCGGGCCAGTTTATTTATCTGCTGACGCGGCAGGTTCGGCCGATCGTGGCCCCCACTGGCCGTGGTTCGCCGTCCCGGGCCAGTGGGGGCGGCAAGAAGCGGCGCGGGCGAGGGATGTGCTGGCCGCGGCGTCCCACCGCCCCCATTGGCCCGGGACGGTGAACCACGGCCAGTGGGGGCCACGATCGGCCAAACCTGCTGCGTCAGCAGGT